CTCCGGCTGCTGTGCTCTCCCCTGACGCTTCGGCTCTGTTTAAGAGCCGAGCTGCCCGAGCGGTAGCGCTTCGGGCAGCTCGGCTTTAAACAGAGCAGAAGAATCAAGATAGGGAACACAGCAGCCGCGGGAGGGGAAGTGCCCAGCTGGCGGTATTTTTCCCGGATATGTTCGGCTTTTTGGCAATTCCCCCCGGACGGGGGTTTGATTACCAAAAAAAGCCGGACATGTCCGGGAAAAAACGGATGTATGGTAACCCTATGCAAGGCCAGAGCTGGACCAGCCTTTCTGGTCTCTTGCATCTATTTGCAGAGTCTGTTTGGTTCTTTCTAGGTGCCATGAAAACAAAGGATATGAAGGTCTAGTTTTCTAAAACAGTCAATGCCAGCAGCCCTGCACTCGTGAGTAACAAACAGCCCAATGCTTCTGAGCTACCCTACAATAACAAGCCAGCATGAGCAGTCCAGTGCTTCTTAACAGCCGTACAATCCCAAGCACGTGAGCAGTCCAGTCCTTCTGTGCAATACTACAACAACAAACCAGTACACCCAGTCCTGTAGCATAAGCAACCTACTAACTGTTTTGAGCAAATGTGTGTCCATGAAGAGCCCCCTAGAAACAAACCCAGCGCGTGCTTTCAGGAAGATGGAGAGAGAAAATAACCAGCTTCCTGGGGGCCGGCTAGGAACAGGGCAGAAAAAAATGGAAGCAAATATGCTATCTCAACTCAGGCATTCTCTGATTTCCCAGCGGGGGCGAGTGGGAAGGGACGTGGCGCTGGGGAAAAAGCCAAGCTTCTTGTTTATATACAAATCTATTGGAGAACAAGCAAACGCTGTAAGAAAAATGATCAGTGACAACATGCAAACTAAACGGGTTTGTGCTTCAGGCTCAGGCTGTCGGAAAGTCCCTCCTGCAAACCACGCTTGGTCTGAAACCAGCACATGCAATACAGGGAAAGACCAGGCGGCAAATGCTTCTCTCGTGAGGGAGAGCCCCATCCTTGCCCACCCTGCTCTGTGGACCTTCCTGACATACTGCAAGATTCAGCTGGTTCCCTGGGCTTTTGCAGCAGGGGCGGGGGGTGCTGGGAACCCAGGGCAGTGTGAGGGAGAGAGTTTTTCTGGGGGTGGGGTATTGTCAGCTGTGGGAGGGATTAAGCTGCTAGTTATCTCTGTGTGTGTGGAGGGGTGCCATTTACATCCAGGGTGCTTAGGGTTTCAGATTGGTGCCCTTTTTTATTATTCTTTATAACGGGAAACAAAGAAAGAAGCATCTGATTCAGAACCCACCTCTGAGGGCAGGGCCACTGGGTATAAAGGGTTAAAATGTTCACACGGGTGTCCATCACCTGAGCTCATCACCAAACTTGACTCGCGTTTAACACTTCAATAAACTGGATCCTTATTTTCCAGACAGGTTAGGGGATGCCGGTGCATATTTAATTTGCACACGCAGCTACCATGCTTGTGCATGTTGTCCACACAAATACAGCTCATTCACGACATGCGTGCACAGGTGACCAACACAGCGCATGCAAAGAAGCCGCACGGTGGCTCAGGGAACAGCGTGACTGGAAAGCACTATCAATACGTGAACGCATAATACAAAGGAGTCACTCCCTAGTGGTGAGATTTACCAGGCCTGCGCACCACATAAAACCCACTTCGGCCTATCGGGTTTTGGTGCATAGGGCTCGTGTTGCCTCTCTGAATCTCACCCTAAGTGAAGAAGGAGCGAAGGGCCTGATCCAGATCCTAGATACCCACTGGGGCCCAATCCTCCCACCAAAGGGTACAAGCAACACTTACTGACCTCAATAGGACTCAACTGTATCCTGCAATGAGATGCTAGAGCCCTGAGAGCTTTGGGGGAACCAGGGAGGAAATGGTGGGAAACCCACTGTTTCCTGGAGGCCTGTCCTGTTCCTACCTACCAGACCTGTCCAACGTTAGCCCAGGGACAGGAAGGCACAATTTAGGGAACTAGCCTTTAGCTGTGGAAGCTGTTGCCAATAGGTCACTGGCTCAAAGCCAGCCCCAATCATAGAAGCTGCAAGCTGTTGCTCTCTGGGGCCTGGTGGCTTGTGAGAGAGGAGCTGGTGGAGGTCACCAGTGTTAGCAGCACCTCGGGTGTCAATCTGAGCAGAGAGGACATGGGCTGGAAGGGCCACGGTGACTTGAGCGCAGTCTCCTGACCAAGGTCAAGGGGTGCGGATGTGGGAGTGCGTCCTAGTGCTACCCAGAGCATCCCTGTTCTGCAGATAGCTAAGGGGAGTCACTGACTCGGGTTGTCAATCCAGCCCCTTCCACTGCCTAGGAACTCACTGAAGATCTGTTTACCCTGCAACTGGGAGGTGAGACGGCAGCACGCGTAGCCATCCGGAGCCAGCTTTAACCTAGCTAGAGTAACTACGGCAGTGAAGCTGTGGCCAGCATGGGTGGCTCAGTGCCTGGGGTGGTGGAGAAACACCCCTTTCTCCAAGCCTCTCCATGCTCTGCAGGGACTGCAAGGACAAGTGGTTTCTTCTCCCTCGTCTCCCTACAGCAATTCCTGCATGAGAAGACATGCATGCAGGGGAACACAGCTGGAAGCGTGTCCATGTGTGGCTGTACAGGAAGACTCACAACTCCACTGCGGATCTGGCTCAATGTAGGTGAATGTGTTTGTGCACGCCAGTGTATGCTTGTGAGGCTGGTTCTGCATGTGAGAAGTGGTGTGTGCATGCACTCGTGAGCTCGGTGTACATAGCTGTGTGCCAGACTTCGCATGTGTCTGATCTGTGAGCGTGTGTCAGGACAGTAGAGCTGCATGCAGGTGGGCAGAGGTGTGTGCCCATACCCTGTGTGGCGGTGTGTACAGTCACTGGACTAAATGTGTGTGTCTGAGCAGCATGCGTGCCCTGTGTGTGTACCCGTCTCTGTAAGTCTGCACTCTGTGGGCAGTGCATGCATGCGTGTGGGAGAGAGCGACTAAAAGAGACACCATTGGTGAGTAATCACAGTCGTGACAAAAGCTGCGTTAAAAAATACCCTGGGTGGCTCAAGCCTGGCACTGGACGGGCAGCCGCAGAGCCTGCTGCTCTCGTTGTCGGCTTCGTTTACATTAGAACTGGCCTGGACGCTTGATGGGAACTGACTCTCATTCAATCAGAGTGACTGACATTCCCCAGGCCTTGATTTAACGTCTCAGCACAGAGTAATTGTGTTTCCTCCTTACCGTGAATCCAGCCCTGGTGAAAGGTGCCAGGCCGGCAGCCCAGGCGTCTCGCTGATCGTGTTACTGTTCCGGTAACAAGGTCGCAGCCGGGAGCTAAGTGGCTCTTCCTGGCTTGGCTGGCGAGACACTGTTTCCTCGCTGGCTCTCTCGGGCCACGTCTGTGCTGGGCGCTGGGGGTATGATTCCCTGCTCGTGTAGATGTACCGCTAAAAACAACAGGCTAGTGCAGGAGCACAGCCCAACTACATACCTGTAACCTGCCCCAACCCCCGAATATGTACAAGAGCGGCTAGCCCAAGCCACCCCCCGGGCTCCCCTGGCTACACTGTACCAGTATGTCTACATGAGTTGCGAATCACAGCCCCAGCTCCAAGTGTAGACACAGTCTAAGGTATGAGCACTTCCACTGCAGCCTGGTACGACAGGCAGGGCTGGCTTTAGGCCGATTCCACCGATACCCCGAAATCGGGCCCCGTGCTAAGAGGGCCCCGCGCCTTAGGTGCCTTTTAAAATTTTTAGGTTTTTTTACTCACCCAGCGGCAGTCCACTCTGGGTCTTCGGCCGCACTGCAGCGGCGGCGGGTCCGCTCTGGGTCTTTGGCGGCATTTCGGCGGCGGGGGGTCCTTCAGTGCTGCGGAAGACGCGGAGCGGACCCCCAGCGGCCGAAGTGCTGCCGAAGACCCGGACCGCCGCCGGGTATTCGAATCGGGCCCCGCAGGTCCTAAAGCCGGCCCTGACTACAAGGGAATAAGAACCGTGCATCAGGGTCCGCCCAGGTGAAGAATAATCCCTAAAATCCCCCCACTATTAACTCTCCGTAGGGATGTGCCTTTCGCCAGTATTGCTTCTCTTCCAAGCACCTTAGCGACCATCCTATGCACTTAATTAACCTTTGCCACACCCCAGCCAGGTAAGTATCATTGCCGTGATATAGAGGAGGAAACTGAGTCACAGACAGATCATGTGATTTTTCCCAATACGGACCTGCGCAGAGCTGAGCGAGAAACTGAGTTTTCAGGTAGCTGGAAGTTCCAGAAAAAATCAGGAAAGTTTTTTCCAGTTTCAGGTCGAACCAAAACCAGCAGTTTTCAGGTTTTTTGACAAATCGAAAAAGCCAGAAAAACTGTGTTTGTTCGGCCCGAAATGTTTCGTTTTGGGGCTTTTTTTTTTAATAAAAGGACAGGAGAGGCGAGATTCTCACAGCCCCAGGAGGCCGGGCTGCTGCTGCCTTCACACCCAGGAGCCCAGCTGTTAGAGCACTCACCTGGGTGTGGGAGAGGCAAGTTTCAATTGCAGCTCTGGAGCAGGGACTTAAACCCAAGGCTCCTACATCCTCCATGACTGCCCTAGACGCCAGGCTACTGGCTACGCTGGGGTGGGGGGGCTCTCTCAGGCTTTCCTGTTGAAGCTGTTCCACTGTGTATAAAATACTTGACTAGTTCTTGGGCCAGAAGGCGAGCGTGAGAATGACTCTGGCCTCGGGGTTAGGGCTCTCACTGGAGGGAAAGAAAGCTGGGTTTACATTATCAGGGTTTTCTCTGCAACCATGAGGGCTAGAAATGTCCTCGTTTTTTAAATGAAAGCTGAGAGTCTCATGTAATCTAGACCAGTGGTTCTCAACCAGGGGTACGTGGACCCCTAGGGGTACGCAGAGGTCTTCTAGGGGGTCCATCAACTCATCTAGAGATTTGCCTAGTTTTACAACAGGCTACATAAAAAGCACGAGCGAAGTCAGTACAAACTAAAACTTCATGCAGACAATGACTTGTTTATACTGCTCCATATACTGTACACTGAAAGGTAAGTACAATATTTATATTCCAATTGATTTCTTTTATAATTATATGGTAAAAATACAAAAGTCAGCAATAGTGTGGCTGGGACACTTTTGTGTTTTTATGTCTGATTTTGTAAGCAAGTAGTTTTTAAATGAGGTGAAACTTGGGGTTACGCAAGACAAATCAGCCTCCGGAAAGGGGTACAGCAGTCTGGAAAGGTGAGAGCCATTTATCTAGACTGAATGTAACAGCTCCCCTTTGTCGGAGAAGCGTCGTGCAGTCTATCTCACTCGCACAAGAGATACAATTGGGAGGGGGGCAGTTAAAGGCTTGTATTCAAACTTCAGTCCAACACAAACAGTCAGAATGAAGCCGCTTAAAACGGGAGACTCTAATGAGCTCAATTTGCAGCCCGCGTTCCCTGAAGCCCAACGAGAGAGAGAGATTTCTGCTGAGATCTGTGGGCTGCACATTGAGGCTAGTCAGATAAATGAACAATGTGATATTGTCCTGTGAGTCACCGGCTGTGTGAGGATAGCAAAGTTCAGCCCCAGCATTTTCAGTACCCACGTGAAAACTTCTGCCTCTCCAGACAGGATTTGGGTTTGGTTTTTATAAACTGTCGCTTTTGGTTGAAGTGGTCAAAACACAATCAGACCAAGTTCTGCTCCAGGACGGTTGTTTTCAATCTTTTCTCATTTGTGGATCCCTAAAACATTTCGACTAGAGGTGTGGACCCCTTTGGAAACCTCAGATATAGTCTGTGGACCCCCAGGGATCCATGGACCACAGGGAGAAAGTGTTCTACGGGAACAATAACCTTTCGCAGACCCCTAGACAGTCTGCAGACTCCCGGGGGCCCATGCACCACAGATTGAAATGCACTGCTTTAGGGTAACGACACTGGCTTATGCATTCTCGGACCTCTAACTCTTTCAGCTTCCCCGAGAATTTCAAGGACAAACGGAAAAAGTGCTCGAATGAGTTTGGATTTGCTCTTTAATGAGGCAATCTTTCTATCTACCAAAGTAGAGATACCAGGCTCATCACCCTAGCAACAGACAACCTTTCCCGGAGTTGCTGTGTAGGATCAAACTGGTGACCTTGAGAGGAAAAGGCTCTGCCCTCCATTTTCATAATAGTTACAAACAAAAAAAACGACTTTAAAAGAACATGATGGCTGCAAAGTCAATTAAGCCTCCTTGTGCCTATGTGTAACCCACACACCTCCTGGGTGTGATGTTCTGGCACCAAGACCACTTAAAGCGAGAGATAAAATGAGTCTGCTTTAGTTCATGCAGTAGACGCTCACGCATTACGCTCCAGAGGTCCCTGGTTCAATCTGTCGGCATTACAATACACACCTTAGTTACATGGGCACAGAGTTTTTCCACAGAGCTTTTCTCATTTTCTCACTCAGTGCACAGGGAGGACGACAGCTTGTTAATATTTTGTTTTATCCTAACTGGTCAGTGTATGGCCCAGGCTTCATTTACTGCACACTATTCAAACCCTGCTCTGAATACAGACGCATTAAGCTCCTCATGGGCTTTTCTGTGGGGCTGAGCAAGGGTATTATCCCCATTTTACAGATGGAGAGCTGAGGCCCAGAGATTAATGACCCCTGCTTTTGGGTGCCCAGATTGAGATAGCTAAACCTGATTTTTTTCGCAGTCCTTCGCCTTCTATAGCTGTTTATAAAGCGCAGCTCTGACTGACCTTAGCTGCAGCTGTGGGTGCTCAGCACTGCTGCAAACCAGACCCCAAACTCGCAAGTCAGGCCCCCAGAAAATGAGGAGCAGTAACTTCCCCAGCATCCCATGGGAACTCTGTGGCCGAGGCAGAGATAGAATCCAGGGCAGCATTCAACTGCCTTAACCATGACAGCATCCTTTCGCCCAATGCTGCCAACCATTCCTAGGCCACCCATGCTAACAGAGTCACTGACCCCAGTAGTAGTTCGTCATCCTCTCAGCAGACCAGCCACTAGAGGGCGATGATACACATTCTTTGCCAGTGGGCTTCACAGTTATGTGCTAACAGCAGAGGAATGGTGAGACTCGGGAGTCTTGGGTTCCATTTCAGGCTCAAGAGAGGAATGTGTCTAGTGGTCACAGACCCTTTTGCCTCTGTTCCTCCCAATCTGACACCCCAAAAACCTTCTGCCCCACTCCCTCCAATCTGTCCCTATACCCATCCTGTCTCTCCCTCCCCCACTTCCCTGGCTCCTTGTCCAAGTGTCCTCTGAACCCGACTCATCCCTCCCCAGTCTCCTTGCCCAGCCAATCCCAGTCTCTCCATCCTTGTCCCGATCTATTCCCTCCCCCAATCTCTAGGTCTAGCTCTTGTCCCATCTGCGTTTGTGTCAGGCTGTCTCCTCCTCCAGGCTTCCTGGGTGCCAACACAGAGGGCATCACGAGCCCAGGAGAGACAGTCGCCCTGCTCTCAGTTTCTGTGCCTCTCCCCACACTGGCCTGGAGAAGCCAGAAGCAGCAACTGCAAGCAAAACCCTGGCCTGGTGCAGCTGGGATCTTCAGAGAATTTAGCAGCCAGACTCTAACAAGCAGGGCCATCCCTAGCTATTCTGGGGCCCTACACAGCCCCCCCCGTCGGAGGGGGG